CTTTACCAAGTACTCGGAATAACCTGGGTTATTAAGTCCCAATCGACCAGTGATGAAAATGGAAAATGGAAAGTATTTTTAGATTCTGCACGCCACCTGTGGCCGTTTTTGCTTCCACGTGTAGTTCTTAGTTCTTTCAGGCTTAACTGAAGGTATATCGTGTTTTACAATAAAATCTTCGTTTGTTTGTTTAAGAATGTCACGCAAAGCTAGAGAGAAGGCAGCTGTATTAACCTTAAAACACACTCACAGCCCCTGTGCGCCGAGTGTGTTTTGGCAGCAAGACCCAAAATCCATAGATGCACAGTCCGGGCATGCTAATTATAGGCCACACACGGCTTGAAGATTACGTGTTATCATTTTCTTGAAGCTATTATTACTGTTTTTACGAATTGCATATGGGTAAAACAATCGCTGATATTCAAATAACATCTTCATCGAACTCTCATTGGGATAAAGGGCAGGTAAATATAGATTGGACACATATTATTATCACATCGAACTCGCATTGGGATAAAGGGCAGATAAATATAGATTGGACAAATAACATCTTCATCGAACTCGCATTGGGATAAAGGGCAGGTAAATATAGATTGGACAAATAACATCTTCATCGAACTCGCATTGGGATAAAGGGCAGATAAGTATAGATTGGACAAATAACATCTTCATCGAACTCGCATTGGGATAAAGGGCAGAAAAATATAGATTGGACAAATAACATCTTCATCGAACTCGCATTGGGATAAAGGGCAGAAAAATATAGATTGGACAAATAACATCTTCATCGAACTCGCATTGGGATAAAGGGCAGAAAAGTATAGATTGGAGTACATAAGTACATAGATTGGAGTACATAAGTACATAGATTGGAGTACATAAGTACATAGATTGGAGTACATAAGTACATAGATTGGAGTACATAAGTACATCTCTTTACTTCAATTAAATTAAAATGGAAATATGGGATTTTATTATGAACCATGGGTGTGTCATATTCCACTTTTCAGTCAAACAAGAGTTGGCGGTGGGTGCTGTCTTCCCTTTAATCTACCAGTTCAAAATTAGGCAAAAGTATGCACATACAGCACATTTCTGTAACCTTGGGCAAAAATTGTAAAACAACAAAAAGTTTTCTATATAATGTGCTTATAATGAAAACTGCACGAAGTTAACAAACTCGTCTGTCATTTTTAAACATTAATTTGTTTTCAGTATATTTCCTTTATAGATATTTAACATTTGGATTTAGTTTCCTAAACTTTGTAGATTGTCCTTGTTAGCACATTAAGCTGATTGTTTGTTTGTTCTGAATGCTGTGCAAAGCTACAATAGGGCTATCTGTGCTATCCATCCCTAATTTAGTAGCATAAGACTAGAGGAAAGGCAGTGTTTATGTTTTATTCTCCAGGTTTACCTTATACTTTAACAAAGGACTGTTTATGTTTTATTCTCCAGGTTAACCCTATACTTTAACAAAGGAGTGTTTATGTTTTATTCTCCAGGTTAACCCTATACTTTAACAAAGGAGTGTTTATGTTTTATTCTCCAGGTTAACCCTATACTTTAACAAAGGACTGTTTGATAAAACACAAAAACCTAATTTTAACTAAATGTTTCAAAATACTGTTATCATGCTTGCTACGTTCCATGATTCTTACCCACGGTTTTCAGGGAAAACTCACGAATATAACAAACTCATTTATAAGTTTATTTTTCAGCATCTTTCTTTTAAAGATATTTAACGTTCAGATTTATTTTTCGAAACTTAGTAGATTTTCCTTGTTATCAGAGAGAACGTAAGTAACGACTCCGTATTTTTCAGAAAACATTTTAAGATGTTGAAAGTCTTGTATGACGAAGGATCTCGAACAAACAAAACGTAATCTCGTCAATAAGTTCTTTCTAAGTCATACTTGAGAAGCGAAGAATGTACGATTAGGCTTAGTACGTACCTGCTAAAGAGTCTAAGGACGAGGCAGAATAGTGCGGTGGCTATCATGACCGCAGAAACCACCATTATCACGGTAGTAACATCAGAGTTTTCGAACATCCAGTTCGTCTGATCTGGAAGATGACACTAATTATTATTTGTCGATGAATGTCGTAATTTACGTCAAACATAAGACAGATAATCATGTTTATTAACAGGCGTACACCAAAAAAGATCGCTCCTTGTAAACAGCGGTCTTATAACGCTACAAATCAGAGTTTGATACCCGTGGAAGTTGGGGAGGAACTCAGCCCAGATGGTCCGTTGTTTAGGTTTGCATTTAAACACAAAAAAACTAAAACAAATACGGAAACTGAACCCTCAGTGTTTGATGTTTTGAAAGAAAACTCAAATATAGGTTTACTCACCAAGTACACAAGTTTCTTCTCCATCCCTGTTGCTGATTGTATACCTCTCTCCACAACGACATTCTCCGTCGTCAGTGCAAATGGTGTTCTCGTCGATAAATATACAGGACTCGCTATATATGCACCTCTCCCATAGTCTGGCCGCTACACATAAAACGTGTGGCATTATATATACTTGACATTTTATCGTGCGAAATACTTACAAGCTCTAAGGCTTTTCTCACCGTACAGTTGTTTTTATTTATCTCGTGTTGTCAAAGGAGAACAATAATGATTTGTTTTTTCCAGGCTCCGAATTTGTTGAAATGAAATATTTATATGAGAGTCATTTCAGAAGTTTATTAACTAGTCATCCAATCAGCGTTTGAATCAGTTATTGCTGCATAATTAAAAAGTTAAGTAACCTATAAAATAGGGAGATTCGAATAACCAACTAGAAATGAATGTATGTGTACGTGCGTGATGCGAAACTTATCAAGTACAGACGTCATCAAAATTATTTAGCCGTAGCAACCAGTCGTAAGATGCTGCTATCTTATATTGCGACACAGTGTATGTTCACCGAGAGAAGGTTATTCAAGTATTTAGACGGTATTAACTCTTTAAAAAAATGACTAAGAAAATAAAAGATGGTGTAACAGCTGTATTTAGACGGTATTAACTCTTTATAAAACGGATTAAGAAAATAAAAGATGGTGTAACAGCTGTATTTAGACGGTATTAACTCTTTATAAAACGGATTAAGAAAATAAAAGATGGTGTAACAGCTGTATTTAGACGGTATTAACTCTTTATAAAACGGATTAAGAAAATAAAAGATGGTGTAACAGCTGTATTTAGACGTATTAACTCTTTAAAAAACGAACTAAGAAAATAAAAGATGGTGTAACAGCTGTATTTAGACGGTATTAACTCTTTAAAAACGGATTAAGAAAATAAAAGATGGTGTAACAGCTGTATTTAGACGGTATTAACTCTTTAAAAACGAACTAAGAAAATAAAAGATGGTGTAACAGCTGTATTTAGACGGTATTAATTAACAGCTGGAGATTGAATTAAAGTCTTTAAATAGACTATACGTGTAGACTTAACATTTTTCAATTTTCACCCTTAATGTCACATAAACTAAATCCCAGGTGTTCAGTTATAGACGTCATTAACCTTGAACTTCAGCCATTCAGCTGCTCCTACAGTTCCTGTCGTCGGAGCGGGAAGGCAGCCATTCAGCTACTGTTACAGCTCCTATCGTCGGAGTGGGAAGGCCGCCACTGAGTTGCTCCTCCAGCTCCTATCGTCGGAGTGGGAAGGCCGCCACTGAGTTGTTCCTACAGCTCCT